TGGGTAAATAAAATTTATAAAAAGTGTACTATTCGATAGAAATAAATATATACATAGATTCATATAACAGTATATTCCAACAATAAACATAATACTATTACTATAATCTCCATACAAACAGTTTTCATGATATAATATTTTTTGATTAATTGATTGAATGTATTTGATGCTCTACATGCATAATCAAGATAACAAATGGATTGAGATCAAGAAAAGTAAAAATTACCGTAATGAGCATCAGGAACGTCCATTAGGTCGGAGACCAGCCCATTTCCAATGAGGTTCAATTTAAATAATACATTGTCTGTCTTCAGCTGAAAGATAAACAGTTTAATTCCATAACTGAATAATTATATTTAAGTAAGTTACAAATTTACAATTAAATATATGAATGACAAAATTGTTTTCTTGTCAATTAACTGTGCTATATTGTTATTTAATTGGCTGGTATTGTCGATTTAAGGATTTTGTAGTAAAATGTTCGTAAAATCAGGAAAAATGAGAAAAATGTCGATAGGGTTGCAACAATTCTGATCGGGGTCTAAAACAAGGGGATGCATAGAGCCTTGTTCAGGGTCCCGGAATGAAATCCCTGGGGTGAGGTTCATGGGGAGAAATATTACGGTACAGGATCGCCCATGTGATTTTTGACCACAATTGGATTGTCTATCAAAATATATTTGTCTGGATCGGCAAATTAATGTCGTGGAGTCGGACGAGGGAGCTGATGTTAGTTTATAAGTTATGGTAACTCGGACTGCATGAGCAAAGCCATTTGCGTTTCAAGTTAAAAATAATGTTTAGTTCACAGTAACATGTGCTACTGGGGCCCTGACCTGGGATTTGTCAATCTCAGCTTAGCAAATGTCTTAAGTCAAAAAAGTTAAGATGTCCTAAAGCAAATATCTTAAGCTGAATTATCAAACCAAAATCTTAGCTTAAAAATAGTCTTAGATGGCACATGAGTACAGTCAACTTTTTAATTTTAAGCATGGGCTAAGTAATATTGATAAATCTGGCCCCAGCATACCAACTTATGCGGAGTATATAAGGACAGGCTGAGGTTATTTAATTTATTCCCTTTGGAGGTCAGAAGAAAATTGTAAAAAAAAAAAAAAATTGTAAAAAATTAAATGTTAATTCTAAATTGTAGAAAGCTTCCTCCTAGCGCTATTTTTTGTTAAATGGTCTGCTACCTTATCTTTTATTGAAAACATTTTATCATATATGATCAGTGGACCACAACTTTGGTGTTGCGCCTTGCCCATGTCTTGCTCTAGGCACTTTCCAAGTAATTTCATCCATTGCATATTATTCATCTATATGAAATAAATAAATAAATAAATATATAAATAAATAAATAAATATCAGTGCACACATAGCCACATAGAGAGAGTGAGAGAGAGAGAGAGACGCTCAGCCATGTACGGCTCATGTATGGTTTATATCTGTATTTAAAACACAGTATATTGTAAATGTAAATGTATCACCGTTTTCGACTTTCTTTTGGAGGGGCGCCATGAGCGTTTCCTCTTAAACGGATACCGGCACTTTATAAATTTTCATTATTATTATCATTCTTATTCTTATTAATAATAATAATAATAATAATAATAATAATAATAATAATAATAATTATTATTATTATTATTATTAGGCCTATTAGGCCTATTATTATTATTATTATTAATTAGGCCTATTATTATTATTAGGCCTATTATTATTATTATTAGGCTTATTATTATTATTAGGCCTATTATTATTATTATTAGGCTTATTATTATAATTAGGCCTATTATTATTATTATCAATAATACAGTCCTATATAAAATGCTCAACTGCTCTGTATATTTGAAAACGGGAAGTGTGCAACCGGCCACCACCTAAATTATTCAAAAATTAGTTTGACAATGGAAAAAAAAAATTAAAATTGTATTCATATTTAAGTTTTTTTCGGCCATCTACAGCAAAATCATAAATCGATATGTGTAAGTGCCCCCTGGATCCCCTCTATTTCAAATTTCTGGATCCGTCACTACAACAGTAGCCTTATTTGATATCAACATCATGGAGGTACACATCCATGAAGATAATAATATCAATATTGATAAATACGGTGTCATTTGGGCCTACCCCGATCACTTTCACTGTCCTTTAAAAATAATATATGAAAATATTTTTGTCGGGCTATAACAAATTTCGATTATTCAGGATTAAAAGTTGTGTACCAGATAATTATCTCTTGGTAATAAATTGCATATATTGTCAATGAAAAAAAACGAATCGATACGAATCTACATGTAAATAATTTCAGGTCTTTGGTGGTTTTAGCGAGTCACTTGGAATGTATGTTGTTGAATAAAATGCAGCATGTCAGTGCATGCTTCTCAGTCGAGGAAATTGTCAATGCCTTCAATGCGGCTGCCTAACAAACGTAGTCAAAATAATAACCATAGAATGATGACAGAATTCCCATTTAACTAGTTAATACTGTAATACTGTACTTACATTTGTTATTAATTGTAAAGTCTCCGTAGTCCATTGAGTAATGTTTATATGTAAAACGCCACCTGGAGTGGTATAAAAAACAATTCATTATTATTTTGCTAATGCGCCATTCCCTTATGACGATGACGATGAGGAGGGTGATGAAAATGATAATGATGACAATAATAATAATAATAATAATAATAATAATAATAATAATAATAATAATGATAATGATAATGATAATGATAATGATAATGATAATAATAATAATAATAATAATAATAATAATAATAATAATAACGGTGGTGGTTATGATGATGATGATGATGATGGCGGTGATGATGATGTCGATAATTATTATTTTGATGATTACAGGATAAGAATCGACTTAAAAAAAAACACGACTCCGATGGAATCAGTATAGGCTGTTATATGACACAAAGGTATTAATGGTGAAAACCCTTTCAAAGTGAGGGACATTCATTTTTGTAAAGTATGCATGTGCTATTTCCCGGCAGAGGGGCCATTTTTTCAACCATGGTGTTGTGTCCGCCCCTTTAGAGGACCGGGTGGTGGCTGTACTGGTTACCATTATGGGCGCAGATCATGGGGGAGACGGGGGACACGTCCCCCACATATTTTAACGGGGTTTTGGTCCCACTCACTTTTCGATCACAATGTAATTTCATAAGTAAAGTAGATGCCTGAAAGTTGTTGAAATGAACTGCATAAAAATGAATTAGGTTTTACCGAAAGAGTGTTGAAAAATAGAGTACGGTACATCTTTCGGTATCTCTGCCCACTAACATCTGAATTACCTGTAATACACGACGAGTGCGCGTGTCTTTATTATAATTTCAGAAGTATGAGAAAAAGCATAACATTGGTTTTCGGCACACGAAGAAGGTAATTTAAATTAAATACATCAAAGACAATTAATTTTTATTTTCTATGGTACAATACAGAAGTTAATTATTGCAGATAAAAGATCATGGTGGATGTGATAATGATGAATTTTACTCAGTTAGGCCTATATAAGAGTGTCATTCCGGTCATCTTTAGATATTATTCTTCAACCATGATGGGGCTGAGGCGGGTGTGGACTCACGGCTTTGAAGTAGTAAAGTAAAGTAAAATACACCAAAGACAGTATTTTTAAGTTTTATTTTCTGTGGTACATCACGCATATTAATTAGACTTCTGGTTGCGGAAAATCGATGATAAAATATCATGAGAAATTTGTTGTAATGATGACGAATTTTAATATATAAAAGTGTCATTTCTGGCCATCTAGAGGTATTATTTATTTCCCAAAATTTTCGCACATCAGCTCCAACCAGGTGTTCTATGGAAGTTAATAAAATGTCTTGAAAGAAAGAACCATGGTGGGGCTGATATTTTATCTTTTTGAAGTGATAAAGTAAAGTAAATATATCAAAGACGGTCTTTTTAAGTCTTATTTTCTATGGTCTCATCACACATAGGCCTACGGTACTAATGATCTCTACGGTTGCCGAAAATCGATGATAAAATTTCATGAGAAATTTGTTGGCGCTACATTTTGACTATAATGGTGATGTGATGATAATTTTACTATAGAGCCATTTTCTGCCATAGAGGTACTGTTTCCTCAATTTTTGTATCTCAGCCCAACCCTGGTGGGTGGGTATGGCTCTCCCCCATCCCACTCTTATAATGGCCGGACCACTTGCAAAATGCTCGGACGGCTATGTATGATCTTAAGTCACCTAAAAACCGAAAGGTCCACTGATTAATCTCAGATAAGATAAGATAGCATAATAATAATAAGATAGTATAAGATATAGTATATTGTATGCACGCCATCGTGTCGGAATTCAATATTTCAACATTAATTATGTCATCATCCCAGCCCTGACGAGTTCCGGTCTCGATGAGGTCGGTTGAATCCTAGAGGTCTAGCCGATGACCTAGCTGGGTGCTAGAACAGAAATAACACTTACTATTATGCGCTCTACTCAAAAGGTCCGCTATTTAGCATAATTTGTCTCTGACATCAATTGTAGGTCATAATATTCAGTGGCGGATTAAAGAGGGCTCTAAATTTGTAAAAAGTTAAAAAAAATAATAAAATTATGTTCAAATTCTAAGCCTGTGACAGGCCCATACGCAGTGGAGGGTGGGGGTGCGATGGGTGCGTACGCACCTCCCCTCCCCCAAATTACTAAAGTCCACGATTTCTGGGATACAAAATTCAAGACTAACATTCGCAATTCCATGAAAACCACCCGCCACACCCCCTTGACCAATCAGAGCAGTTTCCAATTAAGACCACCTCTAATAGACCTTTCCGGAGTGTCAATCAAACTTAACAACTGACTAATCAGAACAACGCTAGGAATACGCGCGCGTCTCACAAACACACGTGTTGTCCCACAAACGCACGTGTTCGCCTATGTTTTAACACTGTCGTCTTGTGGGACCTTAGCAACAATATCCAATGGGCGGGGCTTAGCGGAAAGGTCCATTCGCCGTACAAGCAACTACTTTTATTTTTACTTTTTAACCTTCTTGAGGAATTTGAGTGTTTTTCCCCCGCCGCTTGCATGTCAATGACTCACCGCGAACCAACTCATCTTCATTACAGTTTAAGTCAGCCATCATGAGGTGCCATAATCATAAATTGGTGGAACTGAGGTGTTGTAGACTCCCAATCTGTGAAAGTACTTCCTTGGGCCATTCAATTATTTTGGAAACATTTTTGCAGTGCCAGGATGAATAAGACAGTTAAAATTAAAACCAATAATGCATCTAGAAAGGTACTATCCAAAATATGTATTCTTAGTGAAAAGATCCACGTAGAGTATGTTAAAAAACATGGGAAAAAAAGAAAAACATATCAGGTCTTAGAGTGCCATTTCAGAGGTGCCATAATCATAATTTTTCTAACTTCAGACCCAACCCTTGGCACCAGCAGGACTTTGCCCCTGGTGACCACCCCCCACCCCCACCACTACCATGCGATTATGATCCACTGTTTAAAAATTCGCAACAACCAAATAAAAATCTTGCATATGGGCCTGCTGTGAGTGCTATTTCCGGCAATTTAGAGGTGTCATAATCATTGTGTTGCTAAATTGGGAAGTCTCTCTGGTTCCCACTTTCTTTAAATTCCTGGATCGGCCCCTATCATACTATTTATGTCGTCGTTAAACACATTAGAATACGATGACAAAAATCATTTAAAAAGAGCACATCTAAAATCCTACATTGGCATTGGCAATCGGGACCCAAAAGGCCCCCCAGTGTCTCAGAAATCCACAGGGCCCCTGCCCCATCGTTACGCCATTGTGCACAATACATCCTTCGTTTAATGTTGCTCCAGTAAACCTGGACCCATGATGGCGCTTTTGTCGATATTTTGGAGGCAATCAAATACAAATGTATGCTACCATCTTGCCTAAACCCTTTTACAAAATCAATAAAGACGCAAAAAATGTATTCAACATAAGAAAATATAATTTTATTGCTCATGGTACAGTAACAAACACTGGAACTTACAGACCCTTGATCAAGATCTTGAAGTTTTATACTTGCTCTTAATACTTTTACCGTAAATGTTCGAAAGCGCCGCGTAGCTAGCTTATTCGAGAGCGGCGCTTATAAAAAGTATTGGCGTGGCGCTTTCCATGCCCTTTTACCTATCTCACATATTCCCGTAGTTCAGTAGCTCTATCATAAGTCCTTCGTCATAAACGTTCATAAACAAATGTTTGTGTCTTCACTGTGTTATTTATTCATTTTAACACTGTATACCTTGCAATTAAAACTCGGCGCTTAATAGAGCATTTACGGTATGTCAATTTCAAGAAGAATTACATTATTATCATTATTAACATGGTCATTCAATTAATTCAAAAACTAAGTGCACTTTGAAAGACTCTGAATTAGTATATGTTACATTAACAATATTGACATTGTAACCTTTACATCAATGATTAAATTTTAAAGTATGATATAGTTGGTCTTAATATTTTTATGCGAGTTTCAAGAAGAAATACAATTATGCAAAAGTAATAATAATTCATATAGATTACATGGTCATTTAATTAATTCAAAAACGCTATGTACACGTTCTCCCTGATTTTGAATAATAACTTGATTATCAAATACAATTTTGGAACTTTTAAGCCCTGTTTAGACTATCAAATTTTATTTGACAAAAACATGTTGCATTCCTAAATATGGTAATGATGATGACATCATAATCATCTGGACAGAACTTAAGATCTATGAGCAGATTCTTAAAATATTTTAAGGTATTATCTACCACATTTACATACTTTGTTGTAATACCTCCCCTCTTAATCTTTGGTGTATATTAAACAGTAGTTGTTACTTATCCCATTTGTACAGTCCACTGTGTGGACGAAAGCTGGAGCAAATACATTTTATAGTTCGTCTTAAAACTGCTGTTGTTAGTTCTTATATTGTTCTATAGCAGGCTAACACAGCCACACCATTTATTTATTTAAATGTTTTAGTAACTTCAAGTTGATTAATATATTGTTTCAAACAAAATCATCATGAAATAAATTCAATAGCCATTTTAATTATTTCAACTTGTTTTTGTTTTTAATTATTCTGAATTATTTTCTACTTTATTATCATCAAGGTATCATGATTTATTGATCATCAATTTGGTCCAATAAATTCTTTAATTTATGTATGTTAACACTTGATAAGAAAAAAAAAATCTATAATTCATAAACTATAATTCTATAGCCATTTTAATTATTCCAATCTTTTTTTTTTTAAATGATACTGAATGATTTCTTGACTTTATCACCATCATGGTATCACGATCGGATTGCTTATCAATTTAGTCCAAGTTTTATTTTTTGGCATATGTCTCCATTTCCTTCCGCATGATGTACTTTTGAACCTTCCCAGTTACTGTCAATGGGAACGAATCAACGAAGTGGATTATTTTCGGTATTTTGAAGTGAGAGATCTGTAACGAAAAACATAACTGTAAAAATACCACAAGCAGCAAAGAAAAAACATGTTGACATTACTAAGGATTAAACTAAAGCCTAACTGTTGACATTATGCATTGATTCTACCATGTGACTGCTAAATAAGTCTGACCACTGATAGACATTGTAATGTACAAAACTCGTATATTGAATTGAAAACTCAAATAAAATCCAAAAGCAATGTCAAACACTAGGAATTAGCAAAAGCTGATTGGGACTGTAGTTGTAAAATATATACTTTGACTTAGTCATCAAGGTTACCACACCATACTGGTTCATATAGCCCCTGTTGTGGACAGACAGGATAACTTTTACCAGTGGGTACCTTAGCCACGAAGAGCCCTTGGGGAGAAGCAAGTAAGAGCTAGTCCACACCTTGAGCGCTTTGAAAACGTTTTGGTATAAAGCGTTATATAAATAAAAAAAAAAAATATATCCTAGTTGATATGGTTGGAAAATCTGAAGGGAGAAAATATGTGCAGTAAACTGGAGCGGAAAAAATGAATGCTTCTTACATTTCCTTTACAGAATTGTTTGATTTCCTCTTCAGTTGCCGTTTGGTCGGCCTTCAATTTCACCCATGCACAGACCTCTTCACCAAGTCTCTCATCAGGAATACCAATCACCTACACACAAAATGTAATTTTAACTAATAATATATTGTAGGAACGGTTTGGCGCAGTGGATGCGGTTCTGCATCTCAACCTAGAGGTCGGAGGTTCAATCCCTTACTGTTATTTCGCTGGTGTCCTTAGGCAAGTCACTTTACCCACCCAGGAGTATAAGTGGGTACCTGGTAGGTTATAAAACAAAATACACTGTTTACAGCTGCAACATTATGGAATTCTCCCAAGGGATCTGAGTATGTGTTCCATATGTGCTTGATCTAATGACCAGGGGTAATAATGTGAAGCACATACAGGTCTCTACAATATGCGCTATATAAGTTGAAAATAATAATAATAACCTCTAACATCATCACATAAACAGGCAACAAACCATCTAAAAATAGAAAACAAAACTGGGCGGACAGACTTGCCAGCTTAATCAACCCTTCCGTTAGAGTTATATATATCAAGTACATAATTCAATTTAACAACACTGTTTCTCATACTAACACTTTCACTTTTGTAGAAATAGAGGGCAGTATAACAGTTAGAGGAGCCTGCAGTAGCAGACTACAAAAGATTGCAAATCACATTACATTGGAGTGAGCCAGACTGAATCATCATGCGCATATTTGAATACTACATTAGTGATGAGTCACTAGAAACCTATCACTTCCTTTTGCCAGTGCTTAATACAACGTGGTACTTCATTCAAAGTTATTTAGCTATTTCTTTAAATACTTAATCTAACACTCTTCCAATCATAGTTAATCACACTTAATAGAATCATCTGTATCTCATTTTTTACTGATGCAATTTTTAAATTTGCCGGTTAGTCCAAATAAAAAAAACAACTGGTTTCTCATTCCCCTCGCGCATCCATTTTCTCTGCCTCACCAAATTTGTATTTCCTTTATTTTACGGAATGTACAACATTCTGGCTAAATCACATCAGTAAAATTTTGTGGTTGGGGATACATATGGCATGTCTAGTGCTTTTTTTATTTTCTTTCAATGTGTCTACTTGGTAAAAGTGAGAAAGACATCTGTTTCCCATCGACCATCTTAGATTTGCCATCTCGGAGTAAAACAAAAAAAAAGTGCCCTCATTCTAATTTTTTCCAAATATTAGGATGAGAAACTACTTCTTTTTTTTTTACTTGGCCTTACTATCAAGAACTAATCACTATTTGAAGGAGGGCTCAGTCCATTCAGTAGTGAAGTCTTATGAAATGCAGTGATATGCAAAATCATATAAATTACTGTATGCACTTATATGCATGAAGTTGCAAAGATCATAGGCTTATAAATAATATACAAATATTGACTGCTCTTGAGGGGAATGGTGAAATCTATTGCCCCGAGATGATGAGGAAACCGTAGCCTACATTGCGACAAGGAAAAAAGTACTATCATTTAACGTGATAGTACTTTTTTTTCCCCAGGACTTTATGAACTATCATTCGACCTACGTCATCATAGGTGTGATGGTTGAAGTTTATTATCTGCTTTTCTACCAATCAGATGCCTAGAATCTATGTATGCAGTATATAACACAGTAACATGTATGAATAAATACTAACATTACACTGATATGCAAATATATAAAACATTAAGAATTATGCATGCTTGGTACTCTTAAATAGTATATTAAAAGTGATGTTCATGTATGAGTAAATTATGTATTAAGCATTAAATTAATTCATGAATTAATCATTTATATGCAAATATTTAAATAAAGCATTAATATGTATGAGATCTATAATGAATAATGCATATATTTTGGATACATCAAAAGTGAGAAACAAATACAGTAGGGCATGAATTATGCATATTGAATTAGTAATACTGTATACAAAGAATGAAATACAATGGAATGTGGGAATTATTATGTCTTGCATCTTGTGTATGAATAATACATTATTAAGCATCACTAATCACTAGCTGTACTAGCTATAAATGCTGTAATGATTGATACAGCATTAGTATGCAAACTGCCTATGAATTATTCATGAGACAATGTTATTCCTAGGGAAGGTAATGTAATGTATTATCATATGCCTGTACACCTATGCATGGAATATGCTTGAGCAATTGCAACATATAAATGTATGAATAGTAGATCAATTAAAGAAATTATTATACTATGATATGATGATGAAGATGATGAAAATGAGGATACTAATGATGATGATTATGATGACACTGATTATGATAATGTTGCCACTGATGATGATATTGATTATAGTGATGACACTGATGATATATACGATACTGATGATGATGATAGTGGTGATGATAACACTGACAATAATGATGATAGTGTGATGATGGTTACGATGATGATGACACTGATAATGATGATGATAGTGGTGATGATAACACTGACGATAATGATGATGATGATGGTATGATGATGGTTACAATGATGATGACACTGATAATGATGATGATGATAGTGATGATAACATTGATGATGATGATACTGATGATTGAATTGAACTGAATAATGATGATGATGATAATAACGAAAATAGTGGTGATGATGATGATGGTATGATAATGCTGATGATGATGATGATTATGATACTGACAAAAGTAAGAAAACAATTAAAGAAAAGAGATTTGACTTGATGAGTTTAACAGAATTTTATGCACCAGCATTACATAGGATCTGACTGCTACAAAACTAATGACATTATCAATAACAATAATTATAATAATATGCTAATCCAGGTTTCTGCGAGCAATCAACTTCCATTTTCGCACTTAATCTTGACGGAAGTAAATGAAGTTGTTGATATTAAGCATTTTCTCAACACTGCCCAATAAACATGTTCCTTGTCATCGGGAATGTCACAAGTAACCTGTCCACTTGTCACATGGAGAAAATGTTTCAACGGCAATAAACTTGAATATTTTATCTTAAGCACACAAACACTCTAGAATTGTATATCACTCTGCAAAGAGACAAGAAGTCTCGGGACGAATGATTTATCTTTAACGTGTCTTAGTAACGCGTGAGTTACATGTGATATACTGCCACTGGCAAGCAAACAGCTAATGAATAATTCATATATGATAGATTCATAGCTATGCAAAATGCCTATAAATACTGTAGGAATGATGATATAAAATAACAATAACAATAATAAAATAATAATAATTATAATAATATTAATAATAATAATAGTAAATAATAATAATAATAATAATAATAATAATAATAATAATAATGACAATAATAACAAAAATAACAAGATTACAAACCCTCACCCTGTTGTGCCATATCTATGTACTGAAAAAATAATGGCCTACGGCCAAGAATTTGACACGACCCCTACTCTGGCCCGGCCTAGTTGGCTCTGTCTGTTTCGGTCATAAAATATATAAATAACATTCTAAAATCTGCACCTCTCCTTCGGAGAGGCAAGGGTGGTAGTAACAACTATAATAACAAAAATAATATTAATAACAATAATAATGATAATAATAATAATAATAATATAACCAAAACAATAATAATTACCAAAAAATAACATATTTATTAATAAATATAATAATAACAGTAATAACAACAATAACTTCTATTTAGGTATTGAATTAATATTGTTTCTATGAGTCATGTGTATTTGTTAGAATTACTCACATTTTTTTTTTCAGTAATTTATTGTTCCTTTTACATTGTCTAATTGATTGTTATGAAACAACAAAATCCAAAAGAATGAAACCTTGAATATTGGAGAAACTCCAAGGACAAGTCTGCAAATTTTCTATCATGCCAAATTTCATCGAAACTAAACAGTAAAACATTTCACTATTGCCAATAAATAATAGGCTAATTGAAGTAATCAACTTTTGATTTCATATCTAAACTTAGCAAATTAGGAGCATGCTTACTGTAACAAAATCCAAAAATATCAACCAATGAAAACAGTTGTAAGACCTGTTTAAGACTAATTAAATTTCCTCCATAAATTAAAATACATTTGTTTCATTTCCAAATTTAGAATGTTGCTATGATTCTTTGAAAAGGTAAAGTCACTGACCTAAGGCAGAACAAAACAAAACAGTAACCTTTGTTATTCTTGCTTATACTAAAGCCCTTTCCTGACTGACATGCCTAAGTATGGTCATGATGACTTAACATCATGACCCTATATAGGCACATCATGACTATATATGGGCATATAATCTGGACAAAGCTTAAAACTGGTACACAATTATCGCCATTTTCTTTTTTATATTTGCTTTCATCTTTTATTTTGATTGTTACATCGTTCAGATCCCTGTTCCGCAACCTTTTAAGCCCACAACCCAGATTATATGTCAAGCACGCAGACGCGACCCATCGAACCCGAAGTCAATAAAATGTCTGTCGCTTTATGCACGCGAAAGGATAGCGGGAAGAACCACCCATTTGATTCTTTTGTCAATTGATCACAAGGTATTATCACCCACAAAATCTCTATGTAAAACCCATACGCGTAAAAATGAAAATATAAGTGTTAGTTACTCTTTTAACAAAACCACGCAAGTTATCAAATTTTTCAATAAGTTAAAGATTTTAAAAAAAGTATGATCTACAGACATTTTATTATAAATTCCTAGTGCTGCCAGAGATTTATGGGCTATGCAAAGACCTAGACACATTAAATTAAAAAATATTTTCTCATTATAATTTGCAGCTGAAAGCCTAACACATTATTATTATTATGTCAATATCTCTTTTTCATTGTTTTTAATTATTATTACCTTATTTTTCTGATTACTTTTATTTTTTTTAATTCATTCTATCTGATATATTTTGTCATATATAATTTATCTTATTTTTTTTAATATTTTGATTTAATTTGTTTGATGCAAAATGAGAAGATTTATTTTTAAGCATATTTTAAATTTCTTATGGCTGTTGGAATAATTGTCCCATTCTATTTTTAGTTATTTTAATTTTAAGTGCTAATATTTGTATTAATGCTTTATATTTTATATTCTAATTTTGATTTAAATTGGTAGTTAAGATGTTTTCAGTAATTTGCTTTGTTACATGTTGAGGGTCCCTAATGATTATCTACTGCTGGATGGACCACCCTCATTAAATATGGTTCAAATAAATAAATAAATAAAAATTGAAATGAACAAAACTAATACTTTAAATTTGTCATACCTGAAGTACAAATGTTTTGAACGCACGCATAACAAAAGTAAACTGACGCACTCGTCACACTTAAATTGCACTTTCGTTTACTTAATCTAATTTCGTTTGTATTTGATCTGAAGAGATAATGCGACCCATCAATTTTTTTTACCCATAGGTTGTGGAATGGTGGTTTAGATATTTTTAAGATTATTTGCATATTTACCTTTTTTCTGATATAAACTACTAAAATGTTAAAAGTATTCATGTAATTATTATAACACAAAGTAATAGCCACTTTTACACGGCAGATCATCGTGATTATATAGGTATTTAGTGGCCGTGTAAATGGTGTTTAGTATACTTTGAATAACGAATCATTAACCGCGATGTGATAGTTACCTCTGCATCGCAGCAGCATAGTCTTTATGCAAAACAGCTGTTGTTTGACCTGTGTTCGTAATCACAGAATTCGGTGTTGATAAACAGCGTGAAATACAATTATTAATATTTGCAGAAATGTTAAGAAATACAGCAATAGTAGTTAAAAACCATGTTTTTATCAATTATGTACATTTTAAAACTTCTTTGACAAAGGGTTTCAAAACAAGCAGCAAAGCGCGTTTTTTTTCACATCAGTTTTAATCACATGACTTCCTGGTACAACCAATGAATTTAACAGAATCAACTTATCATGTAGACACTTGACTGCAGATTATTGGTGTTACTAATCTGATAGCAAACGGCAGAGTAAACATGGCTACTGAGCAGTACAGGAATCAGCATTGGCAGACTGCCAACTGTTTCATAAGTTCTCCATTTGTGACTATGTGTTGGAGAAAATGCAAGTCATGTGTTTTGGGGATATTTTAATTACAGTACAGCACTATAGTTGATTTCTGTTACATATGTAACATGGTAAACATCAAATAGTTTTTGACAACGGCACATTTATTTTTTCAGGTATTTTACTCAAAAGACTCACACACATGACAAAACAAACACTTATGTTCACCTAACTGAGTAGTATGCCTCCCCAGTTTAAAGGACGTAGGAGAAATGGATAAAGGAAAAATTTAGAGGGGTCTCAGAAATCAGGAGAGCCTCCCTTACTCTAGCAAGCAAAAACCTCCAGGAAATTAACCCATCTCTGCAAAATTATAATTTTATATGTTTTCACTGCTTTGTTATCAATTAAGGAAGTCAGTGCCGATGGGTATCACTATGGAGTACTGCAGTGTTATGTCACGATACCATGTGATACTACTCCGTTGCTATCGTTGCAAAATGAATTTAACCAGACGCCATTTTCACCACTGACAAACCACTGATCCCAATTTCTAACGTAATTATTAAGATGTTGTATCTTAGTTTTTCTTTGTAAATTTTAATTAATATTAATGTGTGTTCAATAACTAATATAATGCGAGCTTTTGTTTTTAGTACATTTTGATGGTAACATATCAGATTTTATAATGCCTATTCCAGAAAGCCTATGAAGTCATTCCGGCGTAATGAACGGTATCCAACGTCTGGTTGGCGACAGAGGGCGCCTCCTGGTGACGACACGAATGTGGTACTTTATGTGCAGCAAAATAAAACTAATGTATTAAGAAAGCTCATTAAAGTGAGCTATCACTTTAGCGACAGTTAAAGTAGGTTCAAATTGTTATTTGATTATACAGTTTAGTTATTGATATTTAGGAGTTTGGCACAATGGTTGCAGTGCTGCTCCTCAATCCTGAGGTCAGAGGTTCAATCCCTTACTATGCATTTGTTTGCACATTACCTGTGGTTGTTTCTTCACTCTATGACGTACAAGTGGTTATCTGGTATTTTCAAACACAAAATGCACTGATTACAGCTGCAACATTATGGAATCCTACCGGGGGTAGGGTGGGGGGAGGTGAGTATGTGCTTTATATGTTTGATCCAATGACCGGGGGTAATAATGTGAAGCGCTTAGACGATCTGTTGACAAGAAGTGCTACATAAGTCTATCATATTATTATAGTACTAACCTGAACATCTTCTATCTTTGGATGCTTGTAAAGAAACTGCTCAATCTCCGTTGGGTAAATGTTCTCACCACCTCGGATAATCAGGTCCTTTATGCGTCCCACAATCTTTCCAAATCCCTCTTCATCAATAGTTGCAAGATCACTATTTGACACAAGTGATAATAAAAAAAATATAATTAAAAAGCCCAAAGATATATTTTGGTATAAAAAAACATTAAAACAAAATAAGGTATATGTCTTGTAAATAAAATCATGTGCTGGCAGGCCCCCCTCCTCCCCCCTTCAAATCTGCAACTGTATTACATAGCTTACCCTGTGTGGAACCATCTGTTACCATCAACTGCTTTCTTTGTGTTCTCCTCATCTTCCCAATATCCCAACATCGTTGTATATCCACGACTACATAGTTCTCCGGGTGTGTTGATTGGTAAGACTGCACCTGTGTCAGGGTCAATAACCTTCACCTAGTGCAACAGGTACGAAAACATTTTGTAAAAAAAAATCACATTTCGATAGAATTTTTAAGGCTATCCTGTGGCAGATTGCTATTAATAGTAACAATAGTATAGTCTATCATTCAATCAATCAACGTGGATGTGTATAGCGCAAATATCCATGACAGAAATACAATGTTCGGTGCCGCTACAATAATGCAATTACTCAATGTGAACATTAAAAGCTATCCATCTATACATAGTCTTCATGTTTAGCTATTTATAATTGTGACACATAGCCGATCACCGATGGAAGGGGTCGATTTTTAACAGCACCCCCAACCCTTGGGCCATTCGAGACAATCGCCTCGGCCTAGCCTAAGCCTAGGCTAGAATAGCCTAGCCTAGACGGGCCCGACCAGACCAAGCCCAGCCTAGCCTAGATCATTATTATGTATAAATAGTTAGCAGGCTATAATAAAAAACTGATAACTTGTTTCCAGTGTACCTCATTGTGTGGTGAGGGCCTACCAACGGTTGATACTCTTTTCTCGATTGGGTCATCCATCTCGCACTGGAACGTTACAGGACTTGTCTCCGTCAAACCATAGCAAATCTAAGTAACAAGCAACAGGTATTCAATTATTATAGTTATTGTACTTGGCTTAATAAATAAAGAATTCTATAAATATACAGAGTTCTAAGTTAAGGTCTCTCTGAGACAAATATCTGTGATATATGGCATGATGACATCATCATGCTTTATGAGTAAGATATGATACCATATCACAACCATGGGAAAACCACAGATATTAATTGTCTTGATAATGTGGACAGATGTTTATTAATGTTCTGCAACACTGAATTATCCAATCAGATAAATTCCAAGCAGTAATGTTCCAATCAAATTAAAATTATGATTATGATGTCGTTGATTAAAAAATAAGTATTTATACCGTAACATCTTTCATGTGCATCTTTGTGTTGACTTGTTTCATAGTTTCGATTGGACAAGGTGAACCTGCCATGATGCCTGTTGTCAGAGAGGTCAGGTCATATTGGTCGAAGTTTGGGTGGTGCAGCATATCAATAAACATGGTCGGGGTACCGTACTGAGATGTACATCTGTGTGAAAAAATAGAGAGCAGTGCAGTAAATAATTAAGTCTTACATTTCTTTTTTTTATAAAGAAGGTTGCGAAAATCTCATTAATTAACTCTGTTTAAATTTGAGTGGTTCTGAAAAATGACTCACTTTTCATTCTGGATAGCTTGAAGTGTAGCCTCCGGTTCAAAACTTGGAGAGCCAAATATGGCAGTTGCACCATGGACGGCTGTAGCCAGGCTACCAAGAACCATCCCAAAGCAATGGTACAGTGGTACTGGTATGCTTATCTTATGATGCTGTAGTCAGGACAACAAAGGGTCAAAGGTTATATTTCAGTTAGGTCAAGAAGTCAAAGTTCATGTATGAAATAAGCTCATATTTATACATGTTTTTCTATATTTTTAGGGGTTTTATATATATATATGCATATATATACATGTACACAAATATATACCTGTCTCTTATAATATATATAACATGTTGGTGATGATCAAAAGATATCCTATCCATGTATGCTTCAATATATATAAAATAAAAAATAAGTATTCAGAAAAGAAATAACATTCTTCACAAGGTGACTACTTTGAGGCATAGATTTTATTGAACATTTTCGGGAGAACCTGCTCCCCTCTTCAGGGTTACAATTGAAATGACTAGATAGAGAGACAGCCGTGGTGGGAGAATATGAGCAAGAATAAACAGTTTAGAGGTGAAAGGTGAAGTCAGCAAGAAAGTCAAGATCTTTGTTAAGGCCATGGGTGTGAGTTTTAAGTTTGATAATCCAGGAAAGTTCTGAAAGGCGTTCGAATCAATGATGGTAACACGCAAATTATTAATAGAGTGATGGGTCAAATTAAAATGTTGGGCTACGGTTTTGTCGGGGGCATTTTTCCTAATGTCGTGTTTGTGTTCGTTAATGCGGAATCTAAGTGGGTTCATGGTTTCGCCAACATAGTTGCCTTTGTTACAAATATTGCATGTTATTAAGTAAATTTTGTTATGGGAATCGCATGAGAGGTTTGGAGGTTTTATGGAGTGGTTAGTAACTAGGATGGAGTGATCTTTGATGAGGATTTTACAAAATTTACAAATACAAATATCCCATCATATTGTCTCTGCTTGGCGTTGACAAGCAGGTTCATGGGAGTTGTACCTTACCTTTAAATGATAGTCCAACTGCCGTCCAACAATGACACAATTGTTGACAATGTTATGATGACTCAAAGTGACACCTTTTGGATTTCCTGTCGTTCCCTAGCAACAAATACAAATGCATATGTAAGGAAGTTAATCCAACTTGAGCAATACTGATTATTTGGGATTCTCAACGCTCCATGACAAAGTCTTAAGTGGCTTGAAGACAGAAGATGTTTTTGATAAGAGCAATCCCCACAATAAATTGCCAAGACTGGATCTCACAATGTTGCCGTACCAAAAGATACCAGATTTTACTAATCCCATATATTACCAGGTTGCTCAATACCTGATCCTCTCCGGTTCGTCGCCTGTCTATGTCTATGGAAAATATGCCCCATTGGATTGCGGGGCCTGTTTGCCAAATTGTTTGTTTTTACAGAATGATCTTTTTTTTTTTCCTTCAAATTTTGATGTAATTTTTAAATATAATGTTTCTGTGCAATTTTATAATTTTTAACACTTATATTTTTGTAAATGCTATAATTTTAACCTTTGGCGACAATTTTTTTATACCTGAATAAAATAAAATAAAATAAACTGCAATGAAATTAGAACACAGGTGCCTTACGAAACACACCACTTTATTGTTAAAATTTTGATCTTCACTTTCTTTGGACCTTTGTACAAAATATTCTCAACTGTTTTTACTTACAGATGTAAACTGTATGTTGATTGGTTCATCAAATTGTAAGGTTGTTTTGCAGTCCTCGATTATACTAAAATGCTCAGATGTTCCCATAGTGTAAAGGTCATTGAACTTTAAAGATCCAGGGAAATCATCGTCACCCATCATGATAACTGACTTCAAACTTGGAACTCTATTTTAAGGAATAAAAAATTGGTAATGGTATTGAAAATAAATGATATTTGTTGGGTCGATGAAAGGGTCTCTACATTTTGTGCTTTTCTGAGTCGCATTAATAGGAGGAACATTAGTATAAAATAAAAGAACATTCAAGAATTCGAAAAAAATACTGAACTAATTCAGAAAGGGGAAAATGGACCAGAACTGTTATGCAAAGTTATAAAACAAATTTGAAGATGACTACAGATTTTGGAGAATGCATGAATGTTGATGTAAAATCATTTTAAAATCAATTTTTACTTTAAGGTATCACTACTGTTTCCTATATTATCCCAAATATTTTAGGCAGAAATATTAGAAATTATCTCAATATGTTGTCTTGTCTTGTCTGTTGCGATTCTATGAGAACACAATGCGACTATGCAGCGCAGTGGATCATTTTTAATGACAATCCGTTCAAAATGCCGCTGACAATCAGGAGACGGTGTTGCATTTTCGAGCACTCACAGTGGGTGGAGTTGGATTCGTAGTGCTACGTTTGTACGACTGTGCCTGCTCTACAGTACAAAACACCTCTGGTGTGGTTATCAACGCAGAATCCATCATGCAACAGCTTATTCACAACAGCACTTACAGTAGATTAAGTAATATTTAATGATTTTAAATTAGCTACATTGGTTGCAGTTTTAGTGTAAGGAGACAGAGATAGTTACTTATAGATATAAAAATTATGAGCCAAATCATCAAAGATAGGTTATTTTTATAGTGGGAGTGTTTTGTTTTATCACTTTGTCTAAATTGTTCTTGTCAACTGAATTCCAGAAAATGGTTTTGGCTGAATCAACATTGTCAGGAGAATGCTGAATGGTCATAGGCAATTCTAAGGTCACATTGTCGTAATTATTGACAGCTCCCTATCATGTTCTGCACCATACCTTTTACTTTGTAGATCCCCTGGCATTGCAGTCTCCAGCTCGGGGCATATTTCTGACAACATACTGTAGTAATCCTGAGATTTGAAAGTCTTTGCTGAAACAATTGCTTTACAACCAACCTTTGGAAAAAAGTATATAAAAGCATATAACCAGTATACAAAAGTATATAAAAGGTATATAAAAATATATGAAATATATAAAAGTATATATATGTATATAAAATGAATAAAGTATATAAAAAGTATATAAAAAGTATATAAATGTATATACAAGTATATAAAAAAGTATACAAAAGTACATAAAAATATAATACAATGCAGATACTTTACATGCTTAGAATTAGCTATACAGTATGTATTAATAACATGTACTCTGTGGTCCCAAGGATAAGGTCACTTCAGGTGCAACCTCGGTGCACTAGAATGAACAATTCTGATTCTTTTACATCACTTTTGACAATCAGTGGGTTTATCAAGGTAAGTATTCATAAAACAGTGTATTTTAATATCCATAGTGATGAACAAATCCAGCTGATATGAAGACAGTGATATAGCACTAAAGACATTCTATATTCTGGATACGTGAGAGATAAATTAGTTTCCAGGAAATTATAGCTTACCTTATTTAAAGCATAATTTAACTCCTCAGTCCTGTAAGCTGGGTTAATGTTCACAAGGATAGCTCCAAATCGTGCTGTACTAAACTGTGTTAACACCCACTCTAGGGTGCTTGGCCCCCATATTCCAACTCTATCCCCCTTTTTGATACCAATTGCCAAGAGTCCTGCAGCAATTTTGTCAACCTAAAAATGAATACATCAATATTTAGAAAAATATAATTTAAAAATTGAATCATTTACTTTCTATTTAAATTTATTAAAGCAAAAAAAAAATTTTCCTCGCCAAATTTATTTTGTTTATATCAAGAAAAAACTACGATGTACCTCTTCCTTCAATGTGGCAAAGTTTCGGCGTACCCCATCACGGCAAAATATTACAGCGTCACGTTCCGGAAACCTATTGGCAGTGTCTTCTAAACAATTTCCTATTGTCTTGCCCACTAAAGGCCCAGTGCTCAACTTGTGGACATAGCTATGAGTGTACTTCTCGGTTGATGAACTGTTAGTTTCAAATAATCAATAAAAATATTTAAAATGAAATCAATTATCGGTCAAATCCATCAAACAAAATCAATTAGGCCAATAAATTAAATCTAATCAATTACATTCATCAATCTAATTAATCAAATCAATTAAATCCCAATAAATCTAATCACCCAAGTCAATCAAACAAAATTAAACAAATCAATCAACTAATCACTGATAAAATCAATCAATCAATCGTTGACATGGGTGGTGGGGTTATGGAAGAACTTGTTGCGCAATGCCACTCAACCACCATCAAAATTCTACCAGCATCTCCTGTTTACAAGGAAAACAATATAGTATTGACTCTACACTAGAAAACAAATCATGTTAATTGGTACCAGTATAAATTTAAGGTAGGCCTATGCAGGATATATGATTTATGTTTGAAAAATTGTTGATGAAGATGACACATCACAGTTCTATGCTTAATATCAATGCAAGGAAAGGAAAGTTTTCTTCGACAATGTGTTTGTGGCATAGCCATAAGTAAGGAGGGGTTTTCCCATTGACATTGTTGTTATTCCATTCAATTAAAAAAAAATGTCTTTCAAAATGTCATAAAACCCCACTGAATGTATTAATTCCTACAAAAACCATGTCTCTAGCCTCCACGAAAGCATAGGCATTCAACCAAAAAATATGGTTCGTTTAGCATATTTAAGAACACCGCTTATCCTGATGACCGCCGACCAACAGGCTTACTTTTGACGACCAATCCTGATGCTGCCCCGTTCACGTACGTCTGTAGCTAGGATACACTGGCCTAAGTAGAGACGCTATAATATCCTAGTAGGCCTATTTGCTTACCTGCTTGAAAAACGATGCAGTGACGAAGAAGCGTTATCTCGAGGGTTATAAGAAGAAAAATTCAACACTTTAACTCCACTATAAAAACTTTGTCTAGGCCTAGGACGAATAAGTATGTACCGCCACTTAATCATCTGAAGTGCCATTGCTGCTGCATCCAGATCAATAATTCCCAGGATCGGGGTCAAATTAAAATTCCCTGCTCTCAGAGTACGTGTCCGCACCACTGATCTCTACTAATACTGAATAATACAGTGCTATCAGTGGTCCGCCCCCACGTGAACAATGGTAGAATCTTGTATTGCTTTCATGAGTCCCATTCTCTTTGATATGCCGAATGTCAATGGTAGAAAAT